CAGGGAACAACCCAGGATGGGGCGCCAACCCATCACAGGGCACAAGGCAGGGAACAACCCAGGATGGTGCGCCAACCCATCACAGGGCACCAGGCAGGGAACAACCCAGGATGGGGCGCCAACCCATCACAGGGCATCAGGCAGGGAACAACCCAGGATGGTGCGCCAACCCATCACAGGGCACACTAACACACACCATCCACTCACACAAATACAACATACACCTATGGGCAACCCCACGACGACATGGGGAGAACATGCAAACTCCACATGTACAGACCCGAGTGGAGACTCGAATCCAGGTGCCAGAGGTATGAGGTGACAGTGCTGACCACCACACCACTGTGCCACCCCTGCAAATGTACAGTATATTGCAAATATCTAGTGTAGAGAATGTATCTGGTACAGAGACAGAACAAAGACGCATAACCTGGTGTGAGAAGCATGAAACCCGAACCCCTGAATGCTAGAAAAACAGTGCATGTTTCATGTCTATTTATTGTTATAAAAAAACATTTTCTGATTTATGTTAATAATAGTATGTATAGTATATCACATACACCTTTATTAAGCATGCAATGATAGTATGTATAGTATATCACACACATAAACAAAGAGAGTATTATAAACACAGAGTTATCAGACCGTATTTATCTAGAATTTATAAAGCATTACAAAGAGACCCAAGGAAAACATGTTTGTTTGATTTATTGAAATATGTCTTTTATCCAGAATGTAGCTAGTTAAACCCCTAAAACCCCTAAAAAATCATAGATATCCACTGTAAACGCTCCTTCCCTCCTTCAGTGCTGGGGGGCTTAAGCTGGAGGCTATGCCCCCCAGGTTTTCATGACCAACATCTTCTACCCACCACCCAATCCTACAAAGCTTGACATAACCTAGAAAATCAGTTGATCTTGTGAGCCAAAGGATCTCATTTGAGTGGCTTCCTTTAAGCCTTCTCCTCCTGAAGATGAAGTTGGCCACGTAGCACTGAGGTAACCTCATGTGTGTGCAGTGTAACCCCAAAAATATCCTCGTGGTAGCGACCCTGGTCCTGCACAGAGACAAAAGGCATGAATATAAAAACTGAACAATTAAAAGTAGATTGTTTAGTAGGTCTGAACAAAGAATAACCTCTTTAAAGGTAAGAGAATGATGGACACTGTGGTCTTGAGGCATACAGTATGAATTAGTATTATACAGTCAGACCTCGCCCATAGGTTCTAGAACCCATCGTTAATGAGGATTCACAGATGTTTCGTAGAGTGACTCAAAATGGTAATATGTGCTTATTTCTATAGTTTAAACCCTAAATATGAGCCCAGTCATGCTCCCAAACACTTTAATTTCATTTAAAAGTTAGCTTAATACATTACCTTAAAAAAAAATATGTTTGATGTAAAAATAGAGTACAGTACTAATGTTACCCTACTAATTCATAGAACACGGCATTGGCTGTAAGGTAAAATGAGTAAATGAACGGGACTGCAAACTTATTGACAGAAGTCATATACGTAACCAAGGTACAATTCAATAAAATATGTAAAGGAAACATTTACATGTAATTTTCACTGTGAATTTGCGAATCACGAAGCATGGATGCACGAGGGCTGACTGTGTAGTGTTATGGTTCACGTATAAATATATCATATATATCATAATAGAATTTTATGCATGCAGGTTTGCTGTGACTGAAGTCATCCAGGTTGTCAGTGAACCAGAAATGATATCTGGCCAGTTTTTAGCTCTACAGTTCCAGCCTCCAAGGGTTCCATGGTGCACTGGTTGTGGCTCAGCCTCAACATACACCTTTCAGGTTCCACAACTCAGTAGTGAGAGGACTGGTACAAAGTTCCCTACAGCCTACAAACTATGTTTTGATGCAGTGTTTGATGCAGTGTTTGCCAGTGCTAATCCTGTGCTGACAAAAAATCTTCTATTTGGTGGTTTCTGCAGAATAGCACTCTGTATCCACAATCGGAATGTGACATGTTCGAATCCTGTGGCCAGCAGAGAGATTTCACCATCGGGCCCTTGAGCAAGGCCTATAACAACAGCAACAGCAATAAAGGGTTTTCATCATCATAAACCCAATCCATACAGGACCTGCTGACCCTGCCTTCTGAACTGTATATCACTTTGGATTTAAGTATCTAACCCTAACCCTAACCCTAAAAATAACTGTTACATGCTTTATCAGTGTACTATTTAGCGTGTATTATCAGATCTACAGGTTCTGCAAAAGTCAACCTTCAGATTGGTGAGGAAGTCTGCTGTCTCATCCTTGGTCATCCCCTCTCGCTCCATCAGGATGTCCTGCAGTGTTGCCAAGACATCCGTCGCCATGGTAACATCCCCGCAGACATAAATGTGGCCATTGTTCCGGCACAGGGTCTGGCACAGCTCCTGCCCAATTCGCTGCCGGAGAATATGCTGGACGTAGCGCAGTGGAGGAGCCGTGTCGCTCAAAGGCTTCATGTCCTGGTGTGGGCAGCCAGAAGATGCAGGTGAAGAGGGAGCTAGACTTCTGACTATGACATGAATGTCATTTGTCATTTATCAAGAAAGTTATCCCAAAGTTATTTTGTAAATGCATGAAAGCCTCAAGAAACTGGAACTACTTCAGATTATGAATTATATTACAATTTACCCCAATATTTTAAAATATTATCAGTTATTTTATTTCACCATAATCCACCAAAATTTGGACATTCTGACAACAATAAAGATGGATTTATTTTTTTAAAGCCTGTACACTGGGACTGTTTCCTCAAGGGTCTGCCAATTGTACCCTTATCTGTAGGTAATCATACCTCTGAGGAACATTTCTGTACCATTTATGGTACATTAATGCTGTTTGTACCTTTGGTATGTTCCTTTTCAATTCTGTACCTTAAAAGGTACAATTACAAGGGTACAGCCTCAGTGAAATGTACAGATTTCTACCCTTTTTTTGAGAGTATAGCATTGAAGGCTGCTGCTATACCTTTTCCCTGGAATAAGCCGTGTGGACAGCTCTGAAGGCCCCCCTCGTCCTGGCATCCTCCACCTCCTCCCGGTAGATGTGGTCAATCTTGGAATTACGGCAGCCAAAGACCAGCGTCAATCCCTGCGGAGTCCTCCCTGAGCACAGTGTGGTTTGTTAGGGGTGGCTGCACACCATTGTCTGGTTATTGTATTATAACCTTCACTACATCCTTCTCTAAAGCCAAACGTTTCTACCTTAACCTTAGCATGTCATTCTTTACCGTCAAGGTCATACTGTATTAGCCTTGACTAATTGTGGTTCTGGTGTGTTAGCACTAATTTAACTGTTTTTCAATGTTAATATTTTTTTTATTTGCCTGTATCATATTCCATGTTTTACTCGTAACTTTGACTCCCAGGATTCCACTGACCTAGCTCCTCAATCTCATACAGCCTCTGTTGCCAAAAGCTTCGGAACGGGGCAATGCCTGTCCCTGGTCCCACTAGGATGCAGGGGACAGAATCATCCGAGGGCAAATGGAACGAGGGTGCCCTGTTAGGGGGAAACAGGGTGATAGAGAAATAGATGTTTTTGCCTGATGCACTTGGTAATAGCTACAGCATCATCAAAACAGCTTCACAACATTACAAAGGAGGAATCTGCCAACCAAACCCCAGAGAGAGACGCTCTTCCAGACATATTCTACCATCCTTACCTTCTGATGAAACAGGGAACGGTCTGTCCAGGGGAGATGTTGAGAAGCCAATTAGAGCAAAGCCCCAGATGCAGGGGGCCTCGGTCACCTGTCAGAACATGGTACTATGCTAATATATGTACTTATTATGGGAATGGCTGCACATTACTGTCAGAACACATGAACAATGTGAACATGCCAGGACTTTGCTATCAGACATGGTGATGACACACGGAGAAGCCCTGTGTTCTGCAGTATTCTTCATGTGGTTCTGAAATGGTCGAGTCGCCACACTCACCCTGTGTGCGGTACTGGACCACGGCAACTGTGGTGTGTATTTGGCCTGGACAGGTGTGTGGGGAGGAGCTGATGGAATAGTAGCGGGGCTGCAGCAGAGGCATCTGGCTGAGAAGCAGGGAGCAGGGCAGGCGGACAGACGGGAACTCCTCCAGCACCTCCTCAAGGGTGGGCATGAGCTCCCAGCGCCAGGCTTCGTACTCCACCCCCCCCTCCACATACACACACACACAACACAACCGAGTCATGCTAATGTAACAAGCCTCAAGTACATTTCATTACTAATATACAGTCAGTCACCACTGATCCACACTGCATACATGTCATACATGTAACCCCTGAAAGTCCCTTAGATTACGTACTGCCATCATGTCAGTAACCGCGGA